ATCGGAAATCAAAAAGAGGTATCGGTCCATCCCTACTCAAAACCTTGACATGGAAAACTAAAACTCATCACATACTGAGACATAACTGCATGTTTAAAAGCTGGATAGAAGGAATAAATAATACTAGAAAAGGTCACATTTTCTGTGTGAAATTTGAATTGGGAACGTTTAAACACTCAGTGTTGATTACTGGCAGGTAAAGAGTACTGAAGGTTTATTTAAAGTTCAAACACTGAAGGAGTAGATCTCTTTATGGGGTAAGAGATCAATTCAATCAGAAAAATGAGACGAAGTTTAACAGATATGAACTTTTGTACTTCCTGCTCTGCATTCACACTGTCATTACAGCTGTGGTGCAAAAGCTTCCTGCAACAAGATGAATACACGATTACACAAACACACATTTTGTCTACAGCATTACTCGTACGAACCAGTTCAACATTTTGTAGAGTTTTTCTAGCGTTTTACTTCCACAGCCAGCTGTTTCTTCACCAGATCGTCCTGCTTGTCCTTCTGTAACCTCTGCTTTAGTAGTCAGACTGCTGCAGCTCCAAATTAGTCATCGAAACACTCGGGAAATGGAGGGCAGCCCTCCACCCCGGACAGATTTATGGAGCTAGCCTTGAACGCAGGGCTGTTGCTTGTGGAGCTGAGCCCATTTCGTTCAAGGAAGAGGGGGGAGATGATTTCAGTTCGTCTGGTCTCTCATCTGCTGCAAACATATCAACATGACTTAGTGGACTGGAATTTTACTTTTTAAATTACAGCATAATCATACAGAAACAAAATATGATACTTAGTGAATTATGAATTCAGATACAGAAACTTTTTTTTATCTCAAAGTGTGAGATCACTGGTATCAGGAGGTTTTCAAAAGGAACTAATGAAAGCTGCATTAAATGCCATAAAATAACACAGAACAGGTCAGTTGTTTGTCAGTGTATATGTCTATCAGTGAGTGAGTTCTAATTACTTTAAATTAGAGTGTAAACACCAGTTAAATCTGTAAAACTAGTTACTTTTATTTCTGAGGACTTACACTCTAAAAAAAAAAAAAGTTCAACAAAAATAACTGCAAACAGTTTGTATCAATGTTTTTGAGTTAAGTCAACTTAGAATGAAATTAAGTTTAACCAACAAACAAACAGGAGGAATCAGCTTTTCCTCAACAATCAAATATATTTCTTCCGGACATGTAAATAGAGAGGACGAGATCTGATATCCTGACGTCTACATGAAGACAAAAAAAGCTACCATTAAGTTACCTCAAAGTAAATTTAGTTTTAAATCAACTACCAGAGAAATTTGTGTTCAAATTCTAGAGAATAATAAGTTGATGAAACTTTATTATGTCATTTCAAATCATCCAGCAGCTTAAATAGTTTTTATTTTGCAATCGTGCATTGAATCTGCAAAGTTCCAAACTCTGTGACTAATAGAGGCTCATCTTGTCTTATCTCAAGTGGTGTGAACAGCTCCTTTGATTTGCTTTTTAGAGTGTTAACCTTTACTAAGTTAGATGTAGCAGCAGGTTGGGCAGCAAGTTGTTCACAGGTGGTCTGTTTTTCTGACAAGACAACCTAATGAGTTAATCCTGGATGACTGTGGACGTAGCTTTTTTTCTTATTATTAAAGTAACACCGTCCAACTAATGAGAATTTGTTCAAATGAGAGCATATCATTAAAACAATTGATTGATTGTCTGATTGGATGAATCGTCAACAAATTGGTGATCCCATCCCAACACGGTCTCCAGTTTGCTCCAGTCTTCTCTCAGAAATAAGCGACACACATGGGCTGTTATTGTTGTTGGTGTTTTAGTGGAAGTAAAAGATTGCAGAGCTGTAATGAGAACTAAGTGGTCAGATACGAAGCGGTCAGACAGCTGCTGTGTTCCCACAACAATCCCTCCCTCATTGCTCCTACACACACACAGACACACAAAAACATCCAAATAAAAAAAAGAAGCAAATCCTCACAAACGTACATTTTATTTTTCTTTTAAAAAAAGGCACACAGGTGACTGAACTCTTCCATATCGTGAAATTAACATCTAAAAAAAACAATAAAACACTGTACAGCTTCTAAATCAAGATAATAGGTAACACACTGTCCTTCCATGTAGTGATTTGTGGTGTAATTAGTCGAGTGAAGCAGATATTTCCATTAATTAAATCCATTCCTGACAGTCTGCTGTCCAATGCTTAGATAATGATGGAACATTTTCATGAAGGGTAAATCTGTGCTTTGAGTGTTAAACTTAAATGCAAATGTTTGGGGTTTTTTTCTTCCAGATTTTTGCACAAATCCTATAAAAATGATTGAGTTTAATCAAGACATACAACCAGTTTCTGGACAAAGAGCCAGAATTAAAAATGGACAAAACTGTTGCAGCTGCAGGTTGATTTAAACTCGGATCAACATATGAAGATTTAATACAATTAAAAACCATTTATGTTTTTCAAATCTCCATTCACAGTGATACTTTTTTTTTTGTCTTCCTTCAACTTTTAAGAGACTTAAAGCACTTTTCTGCTTTGATAAAACATCTGCAGCAATTCAGCAGGTGCTTAGAAAATAACTGATCAGCATCTCACTGAAACTCACACTTTGCATTGATGCGCTTGCTGCCGTCAATAGTGGCCACATGGCTGCTTAATGCTGTAGATAAGAAACTGGGTGAAAGTCCTGCTATCACTCTTTATCTGCCTCTAAGGCAGAGGTCAGAGGGCGTGTCCCGTCCCGACCAGGTGGAGGCGTCTGATTGGCCGACAGCAGCTCTCCCACGCTGCCGCAGTACAGCAGCGAGCGCATCGGCCACTTCTGAAGAAGGAGACGGTACATTACATCAACCAGATGGTTATTATCTAAATTCACAGGTGTGACAAAACACATCCGAATGAATGCGGCAACAGACTCCTGACACAAAAACACATGAGTGACTGTGAATTACAAATATTGTCACATCAAGAAAAATGGAACAATAAAAACATCTTTGTCAGCCGTTTCAACATCACCATCACTCTTTTAGATAAGTATAACAGTGTATTATGAATATTTCCTTATAATCAGATTCCCATTATAGCGTAATGTAATTAAGATGTCTGGATGTCATTGATTAGATTTTTTTATATAATGCTGTTAAGTATAAAAGAGGTCTATCAACACAAAAGAGTACTATACAAGTAAACAGAGACATATATTATGGTCTGTCAGTCCTGTGTCTGCAGGACAGGAACCTGAAGTTTCAAAACTTTTGATTGTCCCAATAGTGCACTCACGCAGCCAAAATGATTAAGTTATCTAAATGTGACAGTGGTGGCTATATATATATGTGTGTGTGTGTGTGTGTAAATGTATTATTTGTGGTGTATTCTGCTTCTAACTAGATAAAATTAGTTTTTTATATAAATGTCTTATTGCTGGTTTCATATAGTTACAACTAGATACAGTTATAGAGTTACATAAATTTTACATTTGTGGTTTAATGAACTTACAACAACGCATAATTATTTTTTTTTTAATGTATATTTGGGTGGTTTTATTTATTTTATTTAGTTATAGTTTGCTAAAATTACCAAGTTGTTTAAATGTAACATTGCTGGTTTGTGTCGTTGGAACTAGTAAAAATGTGTTTATAATGTAGATGTTTTATGGATGGTTCTATGTAGTTACAACAAACTAAATTATCACGTTATCTAAGCGTAACAAAGGTGGTTTTATGTAGTTACAACAAACTAAATTATCACGTTATCTAAGTGTAACAAAGGTGGTTTTATGTAGTGAAGATAAGATGAACTTTATTCATCCCAACGAAAATTGTTTTGCCAGAGTACAACAAACAAAAGCTAGAGAAGAATGCACAAATAAAGAAAGATTAAAAGTAATTAAATAGAACTCAAATAAGAATACAAAGTACAAAAATGTGAAGTGTCTATGTGGATGCCAAGAAACAGTGCTTAAAAATATAAAATACCAGAAGTACAAAAATGTAAGCTAAATAACAAGAAACAGATAAATGACTAAAGAAACCAGCTAAAATTTGTAAGTTATACAAAAGTAACATTTGTGGGGGTTTTGCTCATAATGACCTAAAAAGACCTAAAGATACCTACAAATAGAGGCATTTTTTTTTTCAGTTGTATCATAACTTTATAAGCTTTCACTTCCTCTGTGTACAGAACTGGTGATGAAGAGGTAACCAGAGTCCTAAAGTCAGCTCTTGGCTTGCTGAGTGATTGTCTGTGTGTTTAATCAGTAGTTTAATGCAAAGGCTGCCGATTCTTTACCTTGACAGGATGCAGGTATCCGCCCGGCCTGGAGGGAAGACTGTGCTCGGCTAGAGTCCCTCCCTGGTCCAGAGTCTCTGTCAGGTAGGCGATGTAGTTAGTGGCCAGAACCAGAACATCCAGCTTGGAGAGCTTCGTGTCTGGTGGAACTGAGGGTAGAGCTGCCTGCAATCACACGGGTGAACCGTCACCTCTGTGCTACGACGAGTGATGAACTAACAGCAGAGGACTCAGCCTTAGTTAGAGCAGAAGTAGTGCAGCAGGTTGTGTGTATTTATCTGTGCACGTCCAGTACCTGCAGACTGTGGAACGCCTGCCGCAGGTTTCGTACGCGACTCCTCTCTCGAGCTGCGTTTTCTGGGGAGTGCTGGCTCCTCAGCGCCCTGCTCTGGACCACAGACCCGCAACCAGAACCAGAGTTTGGCCTGGACCCGTACACGGACTGCACCTGCTGCAAAGAACACGATCAGAGCCTGACATCTCTGCACAGACATAAACATATATAGAACCTTTCAAGAAAGCTTAAAGGCTGCAGAGACATTAGAATCCATGAGAATACAGAAGGATCACGACCTACATACGGAGCTAAGAAACTTTTAGAAATCTTGGCAACAATGAGTAACAAAGTGTACTTACTTTTTATTTGTTTGATATTTATGCTCTGAGTTATTGAATGCTTCAGTGCCTGGAGTTAATTTATGCTTTGTGAGATTACCAGAGAAGGAAAAGGTAAAATAGTGAAGCTGCTCCTTCGTTCTTTTCACTACTTCTTCTATGATTTTCTAGATATTACTGTCTCTTTTCATTGTGTGTCGTCAGTTCAGTCATGCATTATCCACACTGTTGCTTACTACTATTATTTATTTGTTTAAGCTACATGAACTTGTTTCGTTGCCCACAGAGATTCCTCTCGTTCGGTACGCGTTGGTGCTCTCGCTCATCTTCAACTTTCCACATCGTTACCATAAATTTAAGAAATATGAAATCATGACTATGAGAGATAAAAGACCTTCTACACACATCCCTGCTGCAGAAAAACATTACAGTGGGAAAGTTTTCTTGAAACATGCCCAACATTGAAACTTTGTAAACATTGCTGCCATTACTTTGAACTGAACTAATTCAAGCAGATGGTTTCTATGATCATCATATCTTGCTCAGATTGCATTGACGGTTGTGCAATTTCCTACTGGTTGTTCAGAATTATTAATTGTTGCGTTGCATCATTTGTCTTTGAAACCAGGGTCATGCTTGAATGCAAGTTGGGAAACTGGATCATTACTTCAGACTCACCCACTTCCTGGGCTCCCGGCCGCTCCGTACGCTCTGCCTGAGCTCGAGCAGGGATGCTGGGCTGTTGGCTGCGGGAGGCTGCTTGTTCCGCGGCTCTGCAGCAGAGCCGGACATGAGCTGGTGGTTCCCTGCAACTGACATGAGACCTTCCAGAGGATTCGCCTCCATGGATGCCGCCGGAGTGGGCCTCGCAGGCTCTCTGTGTAAGTCTTGAGAATTTAAATCACTTTGGTTCCGTCTGTTTTCATTGGCTGGATGGAGGTTTGCTTTTAGGCGCTGGAGACTGTTGTGGAAGCTATTATCTTCTGTGAGATATTTTAGTGAATGCACAACAAAACACATGCAGTCTTAGGTCATCTTTCCATCTGGTCAAGGTTCGACTTTGAAGTCTGATCTAGGTTTTTTTTTTTTTGGGTGAAAAACGGATGAAGCAGTCTTCTGGTGTCATGAAGCCATTTTTTGAGATAATTTCTTTCTGTTGTGAGCTGTTCTGTTCAGGCACCTCCGAGCTCCTCTCCAGAGTTCACGAGGCCTCTGCAGACCCTCCAACAACTGGGGAAAACTCCACAACCAGCGGCTGCCTCTCTGCACATCACTGTCCATCCGCAGAATTCCTCCCAGTCCGACTCTTTCTCTCTCTCGCTCTGCTTCTCCGTCTCTCTCCGCTTGTTTCCTTATCGGGTGAGGTAATGTGGGGAACTTCATGTGGTCCTTATCTCAGCCGCCCGGTCATCCTGATCCTCCCCTGGCTGTTTGGTTGCCAAGAAGAGCAGGCAGGCAGGCAGTCAGGCCTGGGGGAGTGCAGCACTGGGAGGGTGTCCCGAGCCAGGGCACTGGGGGCCTTGGGAAACTCAAAGCTCTGCTAACAGCTGGAGTGGGATGGAGGCTCAGGGCAGAGCGACATTGAACGTTAGCAAAGAGAGGCAGAAATGCATTTTGGTTTGGTTGAGAACACTTGGGGCCTCTAAACATGTTTGGATTGAATCTGACTGACATGAGAAAGAGTTTCAAAAAGTCATAAATCAGATTTTTTCCTGCAATCTCATGGGCTATTCCAGAACAAGAGAGAATTAAACACTTCTGTCAAATCTAAATTTAGGAAAGTCATGAATTTTCAGTTGCAGCTGTTCCAGCTATAAAGTTTTGGGACACTGTGACTGTTACGATGGAAACAAGTGCCTCTTCGCCATTTGTGCTCTACAACTTCAGTCTTTACCCATAACATGATCCCAAGTTACAGCATTCAGGTTCCAAATCCCCACCAAGGTGCTCCACTCTTCATCTCCGAATATTAAAGATAGACCTATCATGATAATTCACTGTTATCCAGGTTAAAACGGCTATTTGAATGTAAACTGACATTATTAAGTAAACATACTATAATAAAAAGGCAAAGACAGCTTTGGACAAAGGCTTCAGTGATAACAGCATCATCACCATTAACTACCATTTTGTAAAAGAAATGAAACAAATAATATTTTAACGAGAACTTGTGTTTTTTGTGATTCTCTGTGGCTGCACTGATGACAAGTATCCATCATTTTGTAAAATGTATGTTATCTCTTATCGATAGTTAACAGTCTGAAAAGAGAGATAATAAACCAGGACAGATTGGGGCATGACATACAGTAAAGCTCAACCATCCTATGTGGACATGTGGTCTGTGTTTTAACCATCAAGATGGTAGAATCAGGCCTGAATGTTGGAACTGTGGTGGCTATGTGGGTTCCCTTAAAGCATTCATCACCTGTGCAGGTTAACTGAAGTCGAGCTTTTCACGATGAGCTCAGGTTCCTTAACTACCATCACAGAAGAACATCCAGGGCCTCACAATGTTTTTGTGAATGATCAATTTGTTCTCAGACAAATGTGGGCTCTGGCAGTTTAAAAGAAACTGAAATGGTATGGGGATCATTCTGGTCGAAATGAAAATTTGCGAACAACCGGGCCGAGGGTCGAGATCTCTGTGTTCCTCAGAAATAAAAATACTGAGTCAGACTTGTGTCAGTTTTATTTGGTCCAAAATAGAACAGTGTGACATGATCTGAGAAATGACAGAATTACTATGAAATGAGTAAAATTCTGAATTTAACTGAACCTTACAGTAAAATTGTCTCAAACTAAACATGTCATCATTTAGAAATCATTCTCCAAAGAAAACTTGTCAAACAGCATTGCAGATTGCATTTAGCTTATTCAACATAGTGATGATTATTCAGTTATTTTTATGTGAGGCTGCTATGTCGCTAAAGCTGAATTCAACGTTGTGACTATCAGAAATCTTTAGAAGACATCATAGAAAAAAGTAGTAGGAAGGTTTGCATTCGAACTCAGTGCTTCTAGAGTAAACTGTAGTGCTTGAAATTAACAAATCAATGCTGATGCATGTTACAGACAATCGATCAAAGGCTACTGTGGCAATGTTGACTATTAGCTGTACATTCACAACTTATTACACTAAGTGTGTGACAAACTGTGGAATGCACTACAGAAACATGCATTTAAAGCTTTGAAATAACTGAACATATGTTTCCAATAAAAAAAAAACAAGTAAAAAAAAATAAACATAAGCTGAGGCTTTAAGGCAATCGTGTTAGTATGTACAGAGGTTTCATGCTATCAGTCAGAGGAATGCCTGGCACCTTGTCTATGCTGTCAACACAATAACACCAGGAGCCCTCTGACCTCCCATCTGCAGCTGCTTAGTAAACAGTTTTTAAAACCACAAGACTGAAGGAAGCTCTAAAAAAAAAAGTCAGAAACTCCAGCAAAGTGGTCCGTGTTCAATAAGGCATCTATGAATCCAAAACCTCGTCAGCTTTAAACCTGACTAACGCGCTGTGATTCAAGCCACAGGTTTTTACAATTCTTGCATAAAGCGCTTCTTGTTAATGTATTACTATACTTTTTTTTTAGTACTTGAATTAGAACTGTATCCTGAAAACTTATAGTGGATCATCGATGTAAAAAAAATGTGTACGCATTACGAGTTTAAAAATAAAATGTGTCCACTAAAGGTTTAAACAGCAAACCTACAACTGGCTGGGCTTTTATGCTTTCATAATAACTCTCTCTATTTTCACATAAAGCTATTTCCTGTTTTTGTGTTTCATTACCGTACAATCATCAGTCCATTCATGTTGTAGCACACAAACAACTCTCAAACACAGAACCTCTAATGAATTCTAGTCTCCTGATCTCGTGAATTGTGCTTTCTGTTTTACTTCTTGACTGCACGAGTTTCAAACAAATACATTTCCTGGCAGTAGCACTTCACAAGACTGGCTCAATCACTAAAAAATATGATTAGGAGTTTCATTTATAGATCTGCACTACATCAGAAATTTCACTTCATAGAGAAACTTACTTCATGATCTACATTCTACACGTGTCTACTTACTGCTCAGCACAGTTTCTCTATCTTCGATCTGCTTTACTTTTACTTCCTTCACCTGCTCATCAGTCCAGATTCTACTTCTTCTTCTTCTCCACCAGTTTTATGAACTTCTGGATGTCCTCGGCCATCAGCTGGGGCTCCTCCATGGCAGCAAAATGGCCGCCACGGGCCATGGGAGTGAAGGTGACAAGATTATGGTATTTCTGTTGGACCCACAGTTTGGGTGTGTGCATCAGCTCGTTGGGGAAGCAGGCGTAGCCAGTGGGGACGTAGACTGGCATCCTGGGAATGAGAGGACAACAGTTAAGCTTCACATTTAGAGAGAGGACAACATCTGTCTAGTCTACGAGGTGAAGCTAACAGCTGCAAAATCTAACCTATCACTTCTAATTCAGGATGTAAAGTTATGCTGTAAGAGAAAGACTTTACATTAATATTAACAGCCTGTTTCAGAAAGAAAAGACATGAAGTTGCGAAAACACAAAGACTTTCAACGGAAAAGATGTCATTGATGTGCTTTTTGGAGATACGGTAATCATAAAAATGAACAAATATCAGTAAATCCGCACAAGATGTTACTCACGTTGCATGTGGCTCATTGAGACCATTGCTAAAGTTTTCCTTGTAGAACCTCATGGAGGAGATGATGCAGCCAGACGTCCAGTAGATCATCACGTTAGTCAGCAGGTCGTCCAGAGAGAACTTCCTGCAACACATTACGCACCAGGACATTTCTGATATCCATCCATCCCATCCATTATCTATACACCGCTTAATCCTCACTAGGGTCGCGGGGGGGGCTGGAGTCTATCCCAACCGACTTAGGGCGAAGGCAGGGGACACCCTGGACAGGTCACCAGTCTATCACAGGGCTACACTTAGAGACAGACAACCAAGCACACTCACATCCACACCTATGGACAATTTAGAATCACCAATTAACCTCAACATGTTTTTGGACCTTGTGGGAGGAAGCCGGAGAACCCGGAGAGAACCCACGCTGCACGGGGAGAACATGCAAACTACACACAGAAAGATTCCAGGACGCGAACCGGCAACCTTCTTGCGGCGAGGCAACAGTGCTACCAACTGCGCCACCCTGCAGCCCCATTTCTGATATAATACAATTAATTATATACCTATTTATAATAAATTAACATCATATTTTCATACTATAATTCTCATATCATTACATATCTTTCTAACATTTTGTTGTATTCACCTGGTGAGTCCACCGTCCTCCAGGTTCCTGAAGTCACTGTTCGTCCATGTGGAGAACTTTTCCAGAATGTAGGTGGCCAGACCCACTGGAGAGTCATTAAGGCCTCGTCCTGGAGAAAGAGGAGTAAAGGGACAGAATAAATTAATTGAAAGTATAATTAAAGGTATATAACTAAAAGTAGCTTTAAATTAAAAACAGAATAATACAAAACAATAGCTGTTGGGGAATTTTAGGCTTTATTGCAGATAATTAGAAAGAAATGAAAGCAACTGAAGTTGAGAAAGATGCAACAAGGATCCTCAGTCAGACTCGAGCTGTGTGATGCTGCTCAGAACCGTCTTATCCTGGTTCGTACCTGCAGTGTCAGGCTTGGTGGCCTGGATGTGCATGTAGCCTGTCTCTCTGATGGAGTGCACCACTAGCTTCTGCATGCAGGGATAGAGACGCTCAATGTCCATGTCAGTGAAGCCAAACAGCTGAGGGAAGCGACGGCCGAGCATGATGGATGACATCATGACCAGCCCCGGCTTGGCGGGTGGGGCAAAATTCACATGCAAGCCTTTGACGATTCTGGAGTAAGGATCAAATCAAAGAAAAGAAATATGGGCTAATGTGAGAAAACAACTGGAAAAAGCATGTACATGACGCCACACGTCTATTGTTCTTATGACTGGTGGTTGTGCACTCCAAAAAAAGGCTTCACACGGGATAAGAAGTAATATTTCTACATTTGACTGCAATAGTTATTTGCAGGTATTGAGAAGGTTCTTGTGTCGTACTTGGGTTCCAGCTGAGCCATGTTGGTGGTGACCAGATAGCCCCAGTCTCCTCCATGAGCGTAGAACTGCTGGAAGCCCAGACGCTTCATCAGTTTGTGGAAGATCCGGGCCGCACAAACCGAATTGAAACCTGTTCACATGTGCACAGAGTTAGAAATGACAGCGTGCAGGAGATGAAGAAACTACCAAACTCACCTTTCTTATGTGGTGCGTCAGAGAAACCATACCCTGGTATGGAGGGACACACCAACTCAAACACCAGGTCATTCGGGTTTGACGGTTCTGTCAGCAGAGGGATCAACCCATAGAACTCATAGAAGGAACCGGGCCAGCCATGAACCATAATCAGAGGGATGGGACTGGTCCCCTCTGGCACCTTCTTGGGCTTCACATGGATGTAATGGACATCAATACCTAGATGGAAGTTCACAAAGTTAGCAAGAACACAACTTGGTCTTTATGAATGTGTCAGCTGTGCAGTCTCACCTTCGATTTTGGTTTTGAAGTGAGGGTACTGGTTGAGTTTGTCAACTTGTCTCCTCCAGTCAAAGTCATTTCTCCAGTAAGACACCACCTTCTGCAGGTACTGGGAGTTGAAGCCATAATTAAACTGGCTATCCTCCAGTGATGGAACAGGACGCGTCTGGTCGATCCTCCTGTACAGGTCCTGACAGACAAGAAGAGAAGATGTGTGTTGATGCGTGCTATGGAGAGTCTATTCTGTGTGACAAACTAAAGGCCAATTTATGGTTTCCACATTTCCAAAGCAGACAGTCAGTGTGATTCTAGTCATACTACAATAGGCAAAGCTGCCACTCACGTTGAACACAAAAAACACACAGGATGTTGTGGGTGTTTCTGAAAGGCTGGCTGTGACTTTACACATTTTACAGGACATAGCAGCTGGTTACAGATTTTGTCAATATGATTATTCCTGAGGTGTGCCCAACACCGTGGATGGACACAGCACAGGATTTCTATAGACTTTAAAATCTCCCACTATGTTTGGGCACCATTGATGGAATCAACTCCCAAGTCCAGCAGTGATTACTTCAATTGCAACTCTTTCAATGATGAATTATAAAGATGTGGATGACAGGATCTTCTTGTACAGTCTTTCCCTTGCATTTGTTTAACACACCATTTGTTTTCCTGGCATATGCACAATATACACTTGCTATGCATGCAGTCCTGGATGCAAATTTTGCAGATTGGTCTGACGATGCGAGAGCTATGTGAAACTCACCTCCAGCTCTTCATCACTGGTGGTAACTTTAAAGGGACGGATGGTGACGTCCTCGTCGGCAGCAGGTTGTGCTCCGCACCCCCACCAGCCATCCTTGGTCTTAAGAACCTGGGTCCTGCTCCTCTGAACCAGGAAGTAAATCAGTCCTCCAATTACCAGAGCAACCAGCACCTCTGTGAACATGATGGAGAGCTTTTGCACCGATACAGAAGCCAACAAACGGGGGAAGATGGGCCTAGATGGAGGAAAGGGTGAAACATGGAGACATAGCAAAGACACAATTTAAACAATATAACATTCAATCTTGTTTTTTCTGTTTTCAGCTAAACTGAGGCAGCCATTTTTACTGCATTAATCTATCAAATATGTGTTATTACATTACGCAGTGTTTGCCCCTTAAAAGATTGAGCGAACACGTATTCTTTCCCCTTTGGCTAAGTGGCATATTAAACCAGATATAGACAAAATAACAAAGAATTCAATTTTGACTGAAAGTATAACTACATATGCTAAAAGTCCTAATTTTGTGATATCTAGAAAACTAACTAAACACTAGATAAATTGATTAAATTACATATTTATATCTGATTAAATAATTAGACTCACCAAGAGACATAAATCCCTGGAAGTGTAACTGTACAGTGTAAAGCGCCTAGTTGAACCTTGCAAAGCTTTAAAGGTGTTTTTGGAAGTGCAGACTACTTATCTAAAGACCTTTATTTCAGAAATCTAAATTACCTCACTATAAATAAATCAGTTCTCGGTCAACTTTGACCAGCTCAGCACTAAAATCCTGCAAACTCATCCTGGTATCAGCATTGATAATGTAATAAAGTCATACGCAATCAGTCACAGAAGACATTTCCCTTTTTGTACTTTTAATTGCATTTTACCAAAAGCACTTTTACTTGTAATCCAGTATTTTGAAACTGCTCCTTTTACTTGAGTAAAGGGTCTAAACACTTCCACCTCCACCGTGGAGTGCATATGACTGTGGCCTAATCTGTCAGGGGTGTAATCTGCGTCTGAGTCACAAACACTTCGTTAGTCATGGGTTTAAACAAAAATGTGGGTGCACTCAAACAGAACTGTTGTGTTTGTGACCAGCTGACAGGATAAGCTGACCAGGCCTTCGGTCACAGCTCCAGATAGAGCAGCATGACAAAGCTTTTCTCATTCAGGAGGGCTGCAGACACAAACTGCATCACTGTCAAACTGTGTTTCTCAGTAACCAGCAGTCCAGATATTTTACTGGCAGTAAACGGAACTCAAGTGTCACTTATTGGTAAAAAAGTCACGATGCTAAAGTTGGCTTCTGCTTTAAAAGTTGGGGGAAACTTAAGTTACACAGCTGATTGATGGATTCTTTGATTTTTTTTTAACATTGTAATAATGTAAAACCATGTTAGACATTTTAGGTAAACCCTTAATGATGTCTTTCAAAACTTCTAAAACCTCTTTATTTGTGAACATGCCAGAAAACTGTAGATTTAGATGTAAGTTGTTATATTATACAGACATGGCTGAAATGAACACCGCTTTTATTGCAAGTGGTGCTTTTTATTAGGCTTTACAACTGTCTTTCAACACTGCTATAAATTTTTTTTTATTGTTGCTGTTGTTGTTGCAGCAGAAGAGTGATGTGCATATTCACTGATGTGATTTTTGCAAATGGATCAAATCAGACCAGGTCCAGATCTAAAACCACTACATGCACGTTGTTCAAATCTGGACTAAATTATCTTTGAGAGGCTCCAGATTCTTTAAAGCACACTCTCTAACACGTAAAACCTTTATTCTATTTGTGAAAATGAAATGCAGAAAAGGAAGATTTCACTACTTTTTCCAGACCAGATCTGGATCTAAAAGTAGATGCCTGAAATCTGGACTTGATTGCACCAGAGAGGCTCCAGATTCTTTACAGCACATTTTCTGAATCATGAAACCTTTACTTCATTTGTGCAACTGCAAAAAGAGAGATTTCACTGCCTTTTTTCCGCATGTAAACCAGACTAAATCTAGAGTTACAGCTACTATATAAACAGGTCAAATCTGGACTAGATTATCCCACATGGGCTACTTTTTCTTTAAAGCACTGTTTCTGATTTTTGAAATCTTTACTCAACTTGTGAAAATGCAAAAATAAAAGGGAGATTTCACTGCTTTTTTCCCAAGGAAGGAAACCCAAAACCCAAAGTAACTTAAAAAAAAAAGGTAAAACCAAAACAAAATGGCCCAAAAAAAGTAAATAATTATCAAAAAAAGCCCCGAATTAAATTATTTGTTTACATGTAGACCACATTAGACCAGGTCTAGGACTAAAAACACTCACATCAGTCAATACCGATGTGGTTGCCAATATATCGTTTAGTTAAATGTATTAGTTGAAATGCAAAAATGCAGATTTTGTACACATGTATGTACACCACATTTCACCAGATGTAAACGGTTCCACAAATCAGAAACTAAAGACTTAATTAATGAAAGACTGTTTTGTCATGATCTGGTCCAGATTAAACCAATGGATATTCAGTGGTTTCAGACCTGGACCTGCTCTTGTTTGATCCGGATAAGGAAAAAAAACAAAAAAAAAAACAGCTTCGTAGAAAAGTCTGGATGCATGTTCTGCAGGGTGATGAGTTCAATGACCCGTTCGCTGAGTCTGGCTCCGTTACAAGCAAAACAACCCGTTTTCTAGAACAAACCGAACTTCACGGCAGCAGAACCAGCTGCTAGCAAAAACAACCACTTAACGCTTCTTAAAATAGTTAAGATTGGTTCATATTTCGCTAGTTAATGACAGCTACAGAGCAACAAGTTAACCCAAAGTTAACAGGTTTGTTACCACTAACTAACGACGCAGTTCGTTTTTTCTCTACGCACTTTTATTTAATGTGTTTAACTGCATCAACTAATTGAAGCTAATTGCTGCATATCGCTGCATTTTACAACTTTATTGTGGTTCAGCGACCCTGTTTCAGAACATAATGTTGAAGTCAAAACTATTCAACGGTGAAGGAAACTTTACCAGAACTCACTCAGGACACCAGGTTTTGTCAGTTTTACCTGAAGTCGATCCACTGCCAGGTATGAGGTCCAGTTCAGTCGAGGACGCTGCTCCTGCGCTCCGATACCGAACCTGAGATCCTTCACTCCCACCTACTTTTCCTTCTTCTCCTTAAAGTTTATGTTATTTTATACTATTGACATCCAGCTGGGCAGGCTACAGCAGCAAATTTATCATCAGAGTTGTTTTTTATGACATTATTCCACCTGCACGAAAGAGAAAAATGCCAGAGCGAGAATTTGTCCTGGGATTTGAATGCGTCAAAGAGCACCACAAGAGGATGATGGGAAATGTAGTTTTTTGATAGTCCAGGAATATTGGTGCATTAAGTAGGAAACTAAACTGCACCTGAAAATAGCAGAGACAAAGACAGTTTATCCAAATTCAGAGAATGAATAAAGCTGTGAGATCGTGTTTACGACTTATTTTTAGTCATTTGAGACAAACTGATGTTTTGTTATGCACAGCTTCATTTTAAAAATGAATGTTTTAAAAGTATAAGCGGAAAATGTAAAATCATAAATCATGGCTGTAGTGGCCTTTAATGCATGATAATAGCCTATGCTTACTGTGACCTTAATATTACTTGATTTAATATATTTGAAAAGTCAACCTTTACATTTTTTTCTGTATATAGGAGGTAGTGCAGTCTTCCCCTTGGTGATTATTTCAAGTTTTTGTTTTTACTTTTGGGATCTAGCCTCGTCTATTATAGGTGTTGATAGATTCCAAATGCTTCCTCTGGTCCTTCACCCTCTTTACAGCCTCTGTAGCCAACTGGCTCTGCTATGAGGAAAATACAAAGACAAATAAAAAATGCCAATGTGGAGAACGACTGTCACTCATGACTTTAAAAATCTTCTCAGCTGTCAGGACCTGTTCCAATGAGTCTGTATCACCGACTTACCAACTCCAGGTATTAGGTTAATTTCTCAAATCCAAACTTGTTTTGAGTAAAAGGTAAAGCTGTTTTATATTTTTATATGTGTTTTATAGTGTATCCTAATTGGAAATTAATTATTTTAAAAATTCTTTTGAATTTGTTGTTTGTTAAATGTTCCAATTAAGTATTGACCAGGAAATGCCACCTGCGAGTTCACAGACTTGTTTCTTCTATCTGAACATTTTCAGATCAGCCTCTATGTAACATCAAGAACCAGTCTGTTGATGTCTGTAGCATCACTGTAAATCTGAGCTGTTAGACTGAACTGGCATATGACATGTACCTGTTTTTAGAAAGCACTTTCAAAAGGTAAATCACAATGATAAACTTGTATTAAAGTGCTTTAGACACAGAAAATAAAAAGATGAACTGAACACCTGGATATGCCTCAACTCATGATGCTTTTTCAGATGTACAAAATAGTTGAAGGTTTCATCCCACAGAGGGCAGCAGGTTCTATGATTCAACCTTCAAATTCATAGCATAGCCTTACTGATTTATTTGTGTTTGTCTGTAAAATCAACTTGACCTGACTTTACTTGAATTTGATCCATTTTTACTCGATTTTATTTGAATTAGCTTGATTTCACAGTTTTACCTGATCCAAATTAATTTTAGTGAATTGTAACCTGACTTAATCCAGTTGGATGAAATTTGAATTTGAATCTGATGGTATGGAGGGATGCCTATAATAGGCACAGTAGTCAGCACCGTTGCCTCGCAGCAAGAAGGTGGCCGGTTTGTGTCCTGGTGAGGACACCTGGGATCTTTCTGCGTGGAGTTTGCATGTTCTCCTCATGCAGCGTGGGTTCTCTCCAGGTTCTCCAGCTTCCTCCCACAAGGTCCAAAAACATGTTGAGGTTAATTGGTGATTCTAAATTGTCCGTAGGTGTTACTGTGAGTGTGCTTGGTTGTCTGTCTCTAAGTGTAGCCCTGTGATAGACTGGTTACCTGTCCAGGGTGTCCCCTGTCTTCGCCCTGAGTCGGCTGGGATAGTCTCCAGCCCTCCATGACCCTGGTGAGGATGTGAGCGGAGTATAGATAATGGATGGATGGATGGATGGATGATGGAATGGATCTATCTAATCAAATGTGACGTGACTTGTGTGACGTGTCCTTGTCAGGTTTGGGTGGACCTGAGGGGGAAAGTGTAAAAACCTCCCTCACAGTGAAGCTCAGCTCTGTCAGCTGTTAAAAAGGATGCAGACAGCTTGTCATGGAGGAGTAATATGCGTGTCTATGCTCCCACAGTGGAGTCGACCAGAGCTCGGGGGGTTAAACTGGGTAGAAAATGTATGTAATCAATGTTGTGTTAGTCTTATGTGAGCAGGGAGGAGACTATAAGAATAACTGCTGGTAAACATGGTCAGTAAAATGAGTTGTCCACATGTAGCTCATCATAGTGAAATGTAGGTGAGTTTAGTTCAACAGGGAGGAGCACCACCTTCTCACATTTGTCATGATGGGTTCACTGAGACAAAGAATCCTGCAAAAAGGCGAGTTTCATAGACCTTTATGCTTCAAACTGTTTTTCTGCGGATTGATGTTTTTAGGATTACGTCAGCTGCCAAAGAGGCCCCTTAAAAAATAAAAGTGTCCGTCTAGACTAGTTTCTGCCACCTTGTTTTCTTTCAGCACTGATGTTGGATGACTCCAGGACCCAAAAAGGAGACACAGCACCACAAGACCAACAGCCATGAGATGAGATGATGAGTAGCTCCAAACAGAAAGGAAGAAAAAGGTAAAATCCCCCAAACTACAGCTCCAAAAGATACATATCACACAGCACAGGTGTCTTTGAGTTCATGCTCCAATTGAAAAGGTGACCTTAAACACCGGACTGCACCATTTGTGTGTCTATTTGTCTCATTGACCTTTGTAATGTTTGTGTGTTTCAGCCTGAGGAGGAGCTCTGGTACCTGTCTGTCCTCTGTCTGCTGTCTCTCCCCTTCACCCTCACCCTGACCGGTCAAGGCAGATGGCCGCCCTTCCTAAGCCTGGTTCTGCTGAAGGTATTTTTTCTTTCCTCCCTCTGTCTTAGCTTTGTCTGTCAAAGCACTTTGTCAAGTCGCATTTGAAAAAACAAGTCAGGTAAATACTTGCAAAGGCAGACAGTTTAGGATTCACAACAATATTGAATATGTAGTGTTGTATTACACCATAGCTATATGACTGGACGTGTCAGCGAGGTAACACTGGACACTTGCCTTTAATACTGGGGTGTCCAATCCTGGTCCTCAAGGGCCACAATCCTGCATGTTTTAGATGTTTTCTGTCTTCCAACACACCTGATTCAAATGATCAGCTCATCATCAAGCTCTGCAGAAGCCTGATAGTGATCCTGATCATTTGTTGGAAGAGAGAAAACATCTAAAACATGCAGGATTGTGGCCCTTGAGGACCAGGATTGGACACCCCTGCTTTAATACATTCAAAGGGTGTGGACATTACCAGAAGAAATTTGACTTTTATGCATCAAAAACTGAGGTGCACCCAGAATAAACAAGTAAACAAGCTCAATATTAGGGTTAAGATGATGAACGTTTACCTGAGTAATGTAAATATTACAGATACATTCCTACACTGTAATAGTACAAATGAGCCTAACTTAAATATTAAGATTTAGATCCTGCAATATTGTACCACAAATGACTAAATATTAAGGTTAAAATCCTACAATATCATACCAGTGAACCGAAATTAAACATTGGTTAAGATTACCCCTATTAACCAATTAACTGACTGCTTTGAAAATGAAGGTTAAGACCCTACAAACACATAATATAATCGTACATTCTATTTAGAGTTTTGTTAACTCGGATTCAGAACTTGTATCTTCCCAACAAGTGTAATTTTTTCACCAAAGAAAGTAAATTAAGGCCTTGAAAAATTACTAGCCCAGCAAAGACAAAGAAATCTGACTTCAACATTTTGAGAAACTAATCTGTAACCAGAAAAAATGTTTAAAAATATTTTAACTTTCTTTCCAAAGAAAACTCCTCAACATTGTTTTAAAAACATTTGTACCACATATATTCTGTTGAGTATAATCATGAAGATATTAGTGGCTGTTTAACGAACTACAGTCCACTAGGAGATGAATACATGAGAGATGTTTTCTGTATCAGGGTAAATAAACATTTATTGAACATGTAATGCAATTACTTTCAGTGGATGAAAAGGCATTTGGAAGTGTGGTGGATTTCTACATTAGAAGTCGTGGGCTCCTCCACACCATTGTTTTGAAATGAGAAGGTCCTGCCTCATTCATGTGGCACGAATCCATGAGGGAAACCAAAATGAAACCAACTGCTGAAACTGAATTCAACGTAGCTACATAGACAGAAAGAAAATGTCTTCATCGCCCGTCTTTTTCGTCCCCTTCAAAACTGAAAATAAATGCAAGCTCCTCTAAAGAAATCAAGGTGCCAAAGCTGCTTTCACAGCAGCACACTTTGTCTCACCCCACCTTCTCCCAAGCCCTGTCACTTCTCCCACCTTTATGTTTCCTTAAGTTTCTCAGCAGTCTACACTGATCTTGTGTTGTATTAATACTATCAGGGATGTGATTAAAATGCCTAAAAAGTAAAAACAGGACAATGGGCTTATAAATGACCAAGAAGGTATCATAAAAAACAAAATCCTGGGAGGACAAAATATATACAGTATATATAGATATCACCTCTCTGATAGTATTAAGCCAGTGTAGGCAGCCAGATCGATCTCACCACGCTCTCTCTTTATAAACACTCATCTCTCAGTCTCCACGTCGCACTCTGATGGTTCTCAACAACCACTGTGTCCACTGAAACCAGTCCAGGTGCTTCTAGAGCATTTTAGTCCGTCTCCATCGCACCACTGTGCGTCTCCTTGGACACCATGAGTCTCATCAGTTTTCCATGGAGCTTCTCAATTTTCTTCACGTCCTGGGCCTGGTCTGTCTTGTACTGTAAACACTGTGAGGATAGGAGGGAAAAAAAACACAGAATAAAGGAAGTGACAGCTACCATTACATTACAATAACAAGATGGAATAACAACTTTTACGGCACAAATTCAGAAGTCACATAAATCTAATAGTTGTATAATAGAATCGCCTTCTTCTGGCTGGATCTGTTCTCGCTTAAAGACGTAAATGTTGACAAAAATAGATGCTAATCATGACATCATTGAGAGCATTCTGTGCCAGCACTCCAGTAAAAGGATCCCACATCATTTATCCTCAGGCAGAAGTGGAACCACGAGTCCTGCAATAGATGGTCTATTTTCCACAGAGCCTTGAGTCAGAGTGGGATCATTTGAAGAGACATAATCAACTGACACAGAATAAATCCCCCATTTTTAGTGCCTAGACACTAACGGAGTGATAAAGAGATTCACAGATAGATGAACAATAAGATGGATTGTTGTGAAATTTAGTACAGTCCTTTCAGTTGCTCAGAGAAACAAGCCTGTCGACTGACTTGTGGTCCTTTGGCTTTTGCAGAGAAATATTTCTACATCTACAGTCAGGCTGAAGATTATGGGACAAATAATCGTTTTGTGATTACACTTCTTGGTGCGGAAATGTGGAAAAACTCCTCCTTAAATCCCTTTACAGAACTCAAACTACTGCTGGGACTGCATGCATGCAGCTTAGAAGTGATACAGAAACGTCACCAGGTTTGATCAGGTAAAACTGCCGTCACAACTTTTAAGCTAAACTGAGCAGACATGAAGCTGACACGATCAAAGGGAAGTGTGTGTCTGACAGGAGGTTTAGTGATGTTGGTTAACGGGTAATCATGTTTAAACTTGTCCAGCACTTATTAAACCTAATGATTCCTTCAGAATTACCCTACCAGCCTCACAGAGCAGCTACCAGGTCTGTAACTTACATTTATACCAGGGTACATTGAAACCAGTAGTGCTGACACAATCAATCAATCAATTAATCAACTGCAAGTAAATGTTTATTGTTGAGTATCTGCAAGTAAAGAGGATCCAGCTTCACAGCTGCTAAGACTTATGTTTCTCTGCTACATGTCATTATTTGATCATGTTATCAGTGTTTATACAGGCAAATTCAAGCTTAAAGGTCTGATGTTGACATTAACATTTCATTACCTGATATAAACAGTTGAATAAAAACCGGATTTTCTCGTTTTACTTACCACGGCATTGTCGGTCACTTTAATGCAAAGGTTTCCGTCGCAGTGTCTGTATTTTAGAACCACTCTGACCTGCAAACAGAACAGCAGCCAGTGAATTTGAGAGTTTAAATATGACATAAAATTCAGACTAACAAGTCAGCACAGTCACGTCGCTAACGAGCTAGCCGGCTAACAGGCTGTCCGGCTAGCATGCTAACCTGCTCTGTACTCATTAAATAAACCGTTTTCACCTTCATTGGATCTGTCAGATAGAGTTTCTCTGCTGCGCGGGCGAACTCCTCCCAGGTCTGATAGTAAGGCATTATTTCTAACAAAGCAGCGTTACTGTTTCACCAAAGAAAGTATTTGAATCGGCTGTTCAGGCTGAAGCTAACTCAGAACACCACATCAGCAGCAGCGTGCTCTCAGCCAATCAGAGCGAAGACGGCGTGATGACGAAACCTCATCCGGAACACCTTTTCAAAATAAACGCGTGTTAAGCTTGAACCAATAGCGCATAAAAACAACAAAGAATACTTAAAGATTCAATGTATTTCACTGTGTGGTATGGTTGTCATAAACTCTGAGGTATACAAAAAACCTGTTAAGGTATGAAGATTTTTACTACTACCAACACAAGCCCAAACACAAATAGATAACCTCTGAGATTTACAAGCAAATTCAAACTAAGTGCTATATAACACCTAACAAACCAATTGTTGCACAGGTCAAACTGCATTCCAGCATTTATACTATCATATTGTACAGTGTGCCAGAAAAATATTTACTATGTCCCAATACATATATGTCAAATGTAGTATTCCAAAACAAACAAACAAAACAGATAATACTATTATATTCTGTCTGATTTTGCAATTTGCAAGCCAGCATGCTTCTCTGGCAATTCCGACTCATAACCTTCTGCAGTTACGTTACATACATCATAGTGTCCCACACAAGTAAGTAAACAAGCTTAGCTGCCGGAAGCGACAGATGACAGCACATGTCAAACCTATTATGTTGAAGTAGTATGCCCCAGATGTTAGCATACTGCATGACACACTGAGTGTACTTTGTGAGGGCAGATCTAGTACATACTTAAAGCAAAAAGCAAAAAAAAAAAACATAATCTGGAATGCACTACAATAGGTAACTGACACACAGTTCACAGCAGCCCTATAACCAGTTATACATTTATGGTTAAAGGACCCATCTTTGCAGTATTTTGAACTGTAACACTGAAAGTCACATTGTGGGAACACATGACACTTTAATTGCTTTGCTGAAAAGGGCCACAATATGGGATCTTTAAGTAGTTAGTGATATGCAGTAGCTAATGCATGTCACACAGATGAAGAAATAATTAGGTTCCCATTTATTAATATGAACACAAAAAAGTGATGCTGTTATGATCATATTTCAATAAATGTTAATTTTACCCTTCATTCCAAAATGCATGCTTATTTTTTTCTGTTCTTACTAAGTATGTGCGGTTGCATGCAATATGTATATAACTGGGAAAGAATACTGACGATGAGCTGTCTGTGTAACCTCAGCAGCTGTGGTCAGAATGACCAGAAATGCATGCTGGCTTGCATGCTGCAGAATGAGACATCCTGGTACTTTTGGCAAATAGCATTTGGCACATTATGTATTTGGACTTTTTCTGGCACAAGATATAGTACTGGAGTATGGATATTGGAACGTATCCATGCTGACTAGTCAAAACTGGCCCCAGCTGGCTTTTGCTTTGAAATTATCTGCACTCATGGACCAGGAAATGTTACTCTGCAGAATGATGTTGGAAATTCTACATGTCGCCCTCTTGTGGCTGCACTCCAAACCAACTTCAGACTAAGTCCAAAGTCTTGGAATGTGACAGATTTATTGCACCACTTTGAATAGATAAATAAGGTGTTTTATTTAGATTTTCTGAAGCCCTAATTTCTCCTAATGCCAGCAAAGTGGGCAAATATTAAGACAATTTTAGCTAAACATCAATGGAATATGGGACAATAATAAATAATAAACTTTATTTCTATGTCAAAAGCAGAGGTTTGCAGTGCTTTAAAAAAGAGCAACAATGAAACCTTAAAATCTGCAATAAAACTTTTTTTTTTTTTAAACAAAAACAATAAAATATTTTTTTTTAAAAGCAATGAAACAATATTATAAGACATTATAAAGCAAATATCAGTCTGGAAAGTTGGTTATTCTGTCCGGAAGGGAGAGCTTGATGTAAAAAGTGTATTAGAGCTGTATTAGAAGTAAGTCTTTCTTTTGGTTCAATCTCATTTAACTTTCTGTTTTGGTGAAGGCAGTTCACTTTTGTTGACTATATCAGCTTTAAATTACATTTTATCCCTTTAAACTGGTATTCTTATTTCAGAAAAAAAAGTGTGAAGATCAGGTTTACTACTTTTTTTTTTTTCTTTTTTTTTTTTTTAGGTCTAATGACAAAATCTTACTTAATTTTACATTTGTGGAAACACAATATTAAAGTTGGAAAAACTGGAAATTTCTATGGAAGCAAATCAGGCTCATCCGATTTTGAATTTTAAAAGCTGGTGAACTTTTACACTTGAAATTTTGACTTTTTGAAATTTAGATGAGCAAAATTCAGACAAAATAATTCGCATGCACAATTTCGATGGCAACAAAATTCAAAGTCAGAAATTCAACAGCTTTTAAAATTCAAAATCGGATGAGCCTGATTTGCTTCCATAAACTGCAAGTTAACTATCCTTAAAATTAAATTGCAGCACTGATCATTTAAGATGAATCAAACGATTTAAGTACATTTAACTTATAACAGAGGCATTAATTCTACTTAATAATTTAATTTGGATGAAATTAATTTTTTTGCGTGTTACTCAGTGAAGCAATTCATTTGAACTGGTCCAACAATGATATTTTTCAGTGTGGAGTTTTGGGAAGAGGCGCTCCAACTGGTCCAGATGATTTCTTGGCTTCCACACTAGATGGCAGACAAAGTTCAGACATTCTAACAGATGAATAAAACATGTACATGAGGTGAACTGAAGGCTGAATGAGCACCGAATGGAACTGACTTCACTCCAAGCTGAGTTCAGGTACAACATTTGGCTGGTGCTCTTTTTGTCCCCCCACCCCTCCCTGAGCAGTTTGCAGTGAGAGAAACAGTAGAATAAGCTTCATTTCCCTCAGATCTAATGACATTTACTGGTTCATTGTGTTAGATGTCACAATAACAGAGCTGCTGAGGAGTGGGTGGCGTGCTGACGGCTCATTCATCAGCAGCTGAGTCAGTCGTTGCTCAGTCACCCGAGTGGATGACTTGCGTGTATCGCATGATTTCAGGATCAGATGCAGGAAAGATAGAAGAGTTAGTACATCTGAACATACACACCCATAAACACAACACACCTCTGAAGGGGAATGTGCAGGTTTTTAATATTAAACTATAGAGATTTGTTTTTAATTCACCCCTGACATTCAAAACACCTGCATCAAGGAGGGAAAACTGCCGCTTCTAACTGCTCACATTGTTTCGATAAAACCGTCTCGGCCTTTCCTCTGAGGTGAACCTTTTCATCAAAGTGTAGCATTACATAAAGGAGGAAGAGCTCATAATATGACCTTTGCCTCTACCTTTTTTATTTTTCAGAGAAACCCTTTCATAATCCTCTTTTAGGGCATCAGAGAACCAGCCGGGAGGGTTAGCCAGGCTTCCTATAAATATAACTATCAATCATGTTATTTATTGCACATCGCTGTCTTCCACAATCTACATGACACAGAAAGTCTGAGGTCTGTCACTGAACGTTTTCTCTTCAGGTTGTTTCCAGCTGCAAGGCCGGGCACGACTGATCTGCTCTCTTACTTAATCACTGTTCTCATTACGCTTTCTGCTTTGCACTCAGACGGAGACACAACTGAAGGAGGGCGAGCAGCATCCCCTTGAACTAAATAAAGAATCAGTGTTTTTAATTTTTGGGAGTAAACAGTCTGAGTTGGCCTCGGCTCTGCTAAGCCTCTTTCGGTCCCTCTGTGGATAAGTGGCTTACAGTACTGGCTGCACTTGCTGCTGTGCCATTATAGTAATGGTGATGTTGCTGACACATGACGTATGCACACACACACACACACACACACACACACACTCGATACACGAGCAAGAACGCACGTAAAACACAAGCCCGTGCCGTTAAGCTCATTGTGTGTCTTTCGTGGTGACATCAGGGTGAGAATGTTGTTCCTTGCTGACACACGGATTAAAAATCGGCGAGGGTGAAGGGTGAACATATTTACTACATCAGCACAAACTGCCGCCTCCGCACAGAAACACAGTCGCACATAAACGCAGCAGTAAATCACACAGCTGGCACCTGTGGCAGGACGTCAGCTCCCCTCTGGGTCTGACATCAGCTCTTATTTGTGGGGAGGGCTGCACGTTGGTGTTCTGCTTTTCTTGTGTGACAAGTTCTTGGCCAAAGAGATTTGATTTTAACTACATTTTTCTTGACCGTTTGGGGATTTTGCGAATTCAGTGCTTTCCAGTCAAGCATGAAGGTGTCAAAAGCCTCTTTGGTTGTCAGATATCTGATTAATATTAACACACAGAAAGCCCATAAACCTAACTTGCGATTGTTTTTGTTTGCTGATTAAATAATGTTTACTAGGAGAAAGAAAACAAATGGAACAGCTTGACCTGTTTTAATTTTTTTGCTAAAGTTCTGACTGTCTTTACAAAAAAATGCAACCACTGACACGATCATCAAACAAGCTAAGCTAAGCTAAGCTAAGCTAAGCTAAAATAAGATAAGATAAGATAAGATAAGATAAGATAAGATAAAATATTAGTTAGTCCCGAAAGAAGTTCTTGTGCAATGCAGGACCTAATAGAAAAGCAATAAAATATAACAATGAATCACTGAAAATAAAAAAACAAGAAAACCAAATCAAGAAAAAAAAAAAAAAAAAAAACTAATAAATAATACTAAAAATGCAGCCGAGGTGGTGAAGTAATAGTACACATGGTAAAGAAATATTGCACTTGAAAATGAAATGTTACATGCGATACTGAAACTGATATTGCAC